AGCACCGGCACCGTTTCAAAAGTACCGGTTTGGTACTGGTATCGGATAAAACCTAAACGATACCCATCCCTAATCTTAAGTGTGTTTATGTGAGTATTTCAAAATGGTGCAGAAGTCTAAGGTATATAAACTTGTTAATGCAGTTAATCTGGAGTTGTTTTAGGAAATGCAATTCTCTCTATTCTTTATTTAAACAGTTTATCTCATTAGATATCTGTGCTCTGTTAGGGCAGGTTAGGAAGTGAAGAAAAGTGCACACTCAGACATAATCACACTTCATCCCTCTCCCCTTAACCACATTTCTTTCCTCTTTCTTTTGTAACCACAGACATGTGCACACAAAGAAACACATACACACACTAAGCGGTGTGTGCTTTCGATCAGTCTGTGAGGCTGTGAGGTCCAGACAGATTGGCTGCTTTGGCAAGCTTCTGAGCCCTGATGCCAGGGCCAGGCAGGCGTTTATTGCTGTGTTTGCTGTGTGTGTCTTTGTGTGTGTGTTGAGTGCGCTGTGGGAATACAATTGATCTTAGCCACAGGAGCCCAAGAGGGGAACAGAAGAAGGCTGGGGCAATGGTCGTGAAGAACCCCTATCTCACACAGCGGGAGCATGAAGACCTGTTTGTTTTCCTTCCCTACTTGTTGATTTTAACACTGGTAAATTGTTCGTGTTTGGTTGCCATGTCCTTTTGGTCATTGTCTATTAAAAGTGTGTTTTCTATATTCTTAAAAGAAAACATTGTGTTATAAGTGTTGTCTGCTCTAATTAATTGGGTGTCTCTGAGCAGCTGTAGCTCAGAGACCTAATACTGAATTATTAGTATTAATTATTAACTATTCGTTTTTCTGAAATATTTCAGTAAGCTGTGTCCATCTGTTTTATTTTTAATTCAGTTAGTTTTTTGGTTGTTTCGTCCTCGTGTCTCTTTTTCTTTCCTTTTTTTTTAACAACAGAGGTGCCAAATTCTGTTTATTTTCTTCCTAACTTTGTCACAGTTTCTTCTCTTTGACTTCTTGTATCTTTCCCACCTTTAGCACACTTTAGAAGACTCCTGGGGAACTTTTATCTCAAAAGAGGCCTTATTTTTCACTGGATAACATCTTCAGTTCAAAACCTGTAAATATATTTTAAAAGTGTCACAAAACCTTGTGCTCATCATAAAAAAATATACTCTATAGTGTTGCTGATATATACTGTATACTGTTATTGCCAGTGAAAAGTAGCACAGTCTCACAGGAAAGTGTGAAATAGCTGATCTATTGTAGAAATTTATAATTTTTAATAATAAAGGCTGTAAACTTGCAAGATGCCTATTTCTGGGGGGCAAATAACAGTGGTGGGAACATAGCAAAATGGAAAATGAAGTTAATGTGATCTACACTGGGAAAGGTAATTATGTCCTTTTGCATATTTTACATATTTTTCATTTGTCTGCACGGCTTCCTTCCAAGTACTCTGTTTTCCTTCCACAGTCCAAAGACATGCAGTGGCCATAAGTGAGAACGTGAGTGTGAATGGTTGTATACCTCTGTGTTAGCCCTGTGACAGACTGGTCACCAGTACAGGGGGTATCTCACCTATTGCCCTATGAGTAAGTAGAAGCAGAAGATGGAAGTAAGTAGAGGTGGATGGATGGATGGATTTCAAAGTGCAGGACAACTTTTCACCAGGACTCAAATTAAAAAGTGTCCTAATGTTGTGCTGCAATACTGTAGTGTTTAATAGCTATATATATTCATACATTACACTTATACTTGTAAAAATTTGCACTACAAATTAAACAATTTTTACAATCACTGTATGTGCTTTTTGAGAAAAAACACTGCATTCCAGTCTTTGGTTGCATATATGACCCTCTGATGTGTTTACTAGCAGTATGACATACTTGACATACTGCAGTACTAAACAGTATGTCGAGGGAATATTGATCTTTTGGAGTTTTAAACTCCTGTTTAGCTTTTAAGGCTCCATGTTTATTCAACAGCCTGCTTTCAACTAAAATTGCAATTCACTAATTAAAATGAATTAAATAAAATTAGCGTAAACTTATGAGAGTAAATGCTCAGTGAGAGAAAGACAGAACCTTGTAGAGTTTTAAAACACTCATGTTTTATTAAATCTCACAAGGACCCTCTTGTCAAATAAATTAAATCTAATTACTGAAAGGAAATAAATATAACTGAATAATGGCCTTCAAAAAAAAAGAATTCAAACACTTAATTGTCAAGCAATCTAGGCTAGCCGACATTTAGAAAGTTAAGTTAGAAGAGGAGGAAGAGGAGAAAATAAACACAATAGGAAAAAAATCATTTAAAAATACAGCTCAGACAGGCATGGCCCTCTCCCTTGTGGAATACCATACTGACAGTAACAAACCTGACAGGGTTGTCAATGGCAACAATGTTGTTGTAAGTAACAGAGTTGCCGGGCGATGGCGTGGAGATGGACAGAGTGGTGCAAAGTGAATTGGAGATAACAGGGAGTGTGACAACTGAATTACAGCTGACGGCCCTGAGATGAGCTCTCAGCAACCGTACAACAAGACAGATAGACAATATCCTACACTGGGAGGCAGGCAGGAAGATAGAACGAGACCGTATTTCAGTGGAAAGTCAAAAGCAAGAGGGGGAAAAAAACTCACTATGAGAAAAGAAGACAGAGGGAGAGATCATACAGGAAGTGAGAAAACACGAGGAAGAAGAAAGGAATCCTATTTCCTGAACAAGTAAAGATAGGAGACACTTTAACAATGAGAGAAAGACAGAACTAGAGATTCCTGCACAATCACAGAGCAAACATGATCAGAATAGTCAGATAAGATGGAATTATTAGAGGATTTCTGTACATCGACAGAAATAAAACATCTTGGCTTTGTAAAGTTGTAAACAGTTGTGGTCAGAAATGTATATACATTCATCATGGACATAATTATCTTGGTAATTCTGGGTTTTTTGATAAATAATTTCTTTAAACAGTCCTTTTTCCAAGGTGGAATGACTGTACCACATACATCTTTACTGAATGTGAAGAACAAGAATTATGTGCACAAGTCTGAAATTATTTGAGATTTTCTCTAATCCACACAGGGTCACACAAGTATACATATAGGCTCAAATGTATAAATGCACTCACTTAAATCTCTTAATAAGCTGTGCTAATGGTTCTACACTTTCTTTTGACTTGACTAGTCCATGGCTTTTTCATTTCTCATGATCATGATTGATCAAAACAGTCAGGCTTTTTTTCCCAACTAAATTCCCAACACAAAAATGTACTTATTGGATTTGCCACTACATAGGAAATACAAAATACTGGAAATAAATACAGTTCTCATGTTTTTTGTTTTGTTCTTCTTAAAGCCCAAACACATATTTTGGGTTTAAACTGTAAAAGTTTATTGGTCATTTTCTTTTACCCCGTCCCAAAATTGTGGTTTTTCACAATTCCCGGGTGTTCTAGGAATGTATCACCCGCAAATTCTGTGAACTGTAATGATAATGAAACACAAATTAAAAAAACTTACTTGTAGCATTTGTCAGCCTGAAGGTGACGGACTTGTCTTTGATGTTACACACATTGCGGACTGACACCTGACAGGTATAATCAGCAAAGTCCTTGGGTCTGAGATTCTTCAGCTTCAGCACCTTGGTCTCACCCTGAATATGAGAAACAGGACATCATACAACATCATGTTGGATTATTGTGCTGTAAAAAGAATCATCTGAGAATTAATCACATTAACATTAATATAAACATAATAAACAAAAATCATATTTTCATCGTAATCCATAAACCTGAAAACCCAGAGCGTTTATTTCAGTCTCTTTTAAACTGGGCTGTAATCTTGTGCAAAAGTCTTTAATATGCTGAACCGGGTTAAATACAAACTGAGAGAAGCTCAAATATTAACATAGATACATGCACACACGCATCCTGCCCTTGTATATTGCACGCTCTAGTTATCAAGTGAAGCATTTCAAATATTCATTCATTGTCATTTGATTGGTAAATTCCAAATATCTTTCACATGCAACCATCGGGAAAATGAAACTGATCTGGTTCAAAAATAAAAACTAAATCTGTTCATCTTCTCTCTATTTCTGAAAGCATGCTACTTGCAATCTCAGCAGTGTGCTCGCTTCTTCTCATGTAGATGTACAGACACTGACTTGGACACACAAAAGCAGTCACACATCTCTTAACATCACTGATGATTTTCAGATCAAGGCTTTGAGTCTGATACAGTAGGCAGTGTCTTAGGCAGCCCTGAGAAGAGCTTTGCTGGCTGGTTAATTGAACTCCAGGGGCTCTGCTTTGTTGCTGACTGGTGCTTTGATAAGTGAAGAAAATGGGAACAGTTGTACTAACTGAACAATTGTGTGCTCAGCCTGGGGATGAAGCTTGGGGACTGTTTATTTGGCAGTTTTTTTCAGCTGGATATTGCTGGGTAAATGAACAAGTAACTGACTGTTCAACTTGATGGCCAGTTCATTTTAACCTAATTAAAAGCGTGCTTGTCTTAACGTTGATAGAAAGGAAGAAAAACAATCTCATAATGCTACTATAAACAACAATGTAAAAATGTAATACATAATTATTCATGTGTTTGCTAAGGCATTCCAGTGTACCTACCATGTTCTAGGCTTCCTGACATAGTATATTTCTAGAGTTTCTGGGATTTGTTTGCATAGAGTGATTAATGAAAATTTTTGTCATTAAAAAGGGCCACGTTATTAAAGTTAATTGAACCTATTATGCCTGGCCCATGGTAATTTTTTGTTGTTTTACTTGGATTTAGTAGCTTATAGTATTTTCACAGTAATTACTTCAGTAATGTTTATGCAAAATAGGTCTATCCGACTACCACAGAGAAACCACAGCAACACATAGTGCAGCTGATAATGTGTATTATCAACTGCAACTGTCTAGTTTAATCAAGTCAATATTAGTTGCATGAAATAGTGAAAGAGATTAATAAGAGATATATTGTTTTGAAAGTTTGAAACTAAATCTGCTTCAAATTATGAAGTTATGTTTCAGTTATGAATGAATGTCTCACATAAAACATTGAATATGGAGGATGCATATTTCCTAAAAGTAAGTTAGACCTTCAATGGGTGAAGAGTCCAGTATTAGCATCCACAACATATTATGTATTTAAATATATGTATTAAAATGTCTTTTTGTGATATAACCTGTAACTGCACAAAATAATATGACATAAAATTGTAGTTAGCCTTAGTTGTAATCTATGTAGAGGTAATACAGAGCATTAAAGGGCTTTTCCCACTTTGGAGTGTCACACTGACTTAAAAAGTAAGCGTAGTGTCACACACTGAATAATGTAATCAAAACAATGTTGCAGGTTACGATGAAATTATTGCTATCATAAAAATAAATCCATCTAAATGACATATCTTGCTAACTGTCTGATACATACAGCTCCACAGGTCACTGATAATACACATGGAATCAAATCATGTTAAAAATAGCCATACAGATTGATTGCAAGTCCTTTAACGCCAAGTAAAACATGCACAGTTTCAGCAAATCCAAAGCTTATCAGTCTTGCCGTGGAGAATTATTGGATAATTGCTCTTCAGGGGAGAGGTTTAAGAAAGAAACAGTTCAATTCCTATGACAACCTTACATCAACGCTAATTCCACAACACTGTCTAAGTAAACATTGAATGTGAGACATATTCAATTAATAATCACGAGAGAATGAAATACGTTCAGCTGGGTGAGGCTTTGCCTTGATGGCAGAAAAGAACAGGGTTGAAATGGGAAGGTAAGGGCAGAAAGCAGGGAGCGACTCCACACCTGGCAGAGCGTTTGTGAGCTGTACATGTGTACCTGAGTGTAAAGAGGCTCATAAATGTCCACTCCATTGTCTTTGCTCTGCTCGATGAGCATATCCCCACGTTTCCAGATGAAGCGTGCGGGAGGGTTGGAGTTGACGGTGCAGCGCAGGAATACTGTCTTCTCTTGGTAGTAACTGCCGCGCACGTCGCTGATGGTCTGGTGTACTGTCAGAACGGGTATATCAAGATCTGCAAAATAGACGGTGAAGAAAACAATAAAACTATGAAGACTTTGATAATGCTGCAGGGAGAAAATTGCACAATTAAGCTCCTACTCCATCACACAGGGAAATAAATAACCACAAAATACTGTTTTATAAAATCACAATCTCTTCACAGCCTTTGCAGTTAAAAAGGCTTTTCATGGCTTTGAGGCTTTTTTTTTCAGGGGAAAACACTGGCAATAATTTGTAGCAGGGATGAGATCTGATATATGGAATAATACTTGTAAATAAAGCAAACAGTTCTAGTTTGTTGCCCACCCACACTGACCAAAGCTGTCCAAACAGTCACCTATTTATTTTACTTTCTAAGGAGCACAAATGTCCAAAGATTTCTGTGTTTACCATTTCCATCTCTTGCTGTGACTCTCGCACACTGTGCCTTCATATTTCTTTTCTGTCATTTTTTTAATCCCCCTTTCCCCCCCACTTGCTTCATTTTTCCTGGGCATTTCCTTCATGGAAGTGTCGTCTCCCTTTTCCTCCAGTGGATAGGATTTCAGCTGCTGTCACGAGCACAGAGGCTGCTCTCCCCTGGTTTCTGCCATCTCTACAAAACTCACTGCCACTTTCACTCCACATCACCATCCCTTCCTTTCTATCCTCTCCTCCTCGCTCTCTGCTTCTATCTCTTACAGGGCAGAGTGGTGTGTGTGTGTGCATGTGTGTGCGTGCGTGTGTAATTCTGATTCTTTGCAGCCTAATTGGACTGTTGCAGCCTTCAAACATTATAGAAACAATTTCTGCCAACACCAAAGGTTCCTCTCTTTGCTCCCCACTCCATTTTACTTCTCCCCTTCCTGCTCACCACCTTTTTCTTTCTCTTTGCACCTCCTGCCCTTCACCTCCTGTCTATTGTGTCAACTCATCTCACCTACAGCACACTTAAGTTGCAAGCTATGGAAAAATGTGAGCTGCGAATGTAACGACTATGTTGCTTGACATCACTGGATGTGAACACAGCAGGGCTCATGCGATGCTGTAAGGAGGGAAGCATTTGTATTTTTGGCTGGAGACATTTGAGAGAAACAATGTGTAGCTAAGCATGGTTGATTTGTGAGTTTGTTGTTGAAAAGGGCACCGTTGTCACATGAGGGCTGTGCTTCACACACACAGCCATATGCACATGCATGCACTCACACACATCTAGAACTATATCAAAGTGTGCACTGCCTGAACATAGCATCAGAGCACTTTTGTAGTTTGAAGGTTAGAGCTCAGAGGCAGACTGAGACATAAACTCACAGAGGCAACTTAAGCGCATTGAAGTGGCTACAAATAAAGCAGACATTGCATGAGAAACAACTCCTTTTTAAAATAAAAGGGTCACGGGAATGTTTACTAAATCATAGGACCTTGCTTTACAGTGTGCAGTAACCTTTTTGAATACCTTGGGAAATAAAAGTGAGTCAGGATCTGTACAACACTTAAACCGCATGCGAACAGTTGTGACTACAGTTGTTTTATCAAATCATCTTCAAAATAATTTAACAAACACAAACACAAACACAAAAAAAATGTAGTCGCTTGAGTATTCCACTGGAAACGTGCAACTTAATTAAATAAATTCTTATCAAAACAATGTCTTGAAACACTGAATGAAGAAAATATTATGCTTCTATGCTATAAAATTATTTCCCAAGTTATCTCCATTCGTCCATCATTTCCCTAACCATTTATCCAAATTAATGTGTTTGGAGAAGGGGTTGAGTACTAGCCATAATAGATACACTCTCATAGCCAGAACCTATGGTCAATCTGGAATCACCAATTACCTGCCAGTTGAGTCTTGTGGGAGGGCCACTTGACAATTCATGCATGCAAATCTTTTTTCTGGATTATATCTTTACTGCAGTGGATCTACAAAGTATGCACTGGCTGTAATATAGTCCTGCTTTGTTGTACATTTTTATGACATGATTGTATTGCACATTTTATTATCTACACTTTTTTTCATCCAACTTTTACACAATCTGAGCTGACTAAGCTGCTTACTTTAATACAGTACACTTGTTTTGTACAGCATTTGTTTGTTTTAGTTGGGGTTTTTTAGTGAAGTAGTTCTAAGCTTTGTGAAGTGCTCACCTGATTCTATGGTTTTCCACTCTTAATGGATATTGTGATTTATGAAGCCACAGCTTGAGACAAAATAAGGCCCAGCAAGAAACTATACAATGAGTTGTACCAGTATTTCTAGAAGCCTCTGCCAGGAAAAGGCCTTCAAACCTGAGAAGCTATCAATGATATCTGCCTCCTGGTTCTGTCATGTGCGCATGTGTGTGTGAAAGAGATTTGGAAACGGAGCTAGCACCTTTGTATACTTGAATTTGTGAATAGGTGCATGTGAATGTGTGCATTTATCTGTCCAGGACTGGCAAAGGATTTCTGTATATTTTTCACAGATCATTTGCAGCGCAAGGGGAACCCTAGCTGACTAATGCCCCAGTAGTATGTGGTGTGTGCTTGTGTGTCTGCCAGAGAGTCAGTGCAATGTGTGATTTGTTGGCATTCTGCATATTTCCCGTTTGAATGAGAAGGTGGAAAGCCTGCCACAAAGAGAAGATTATACAAAGAGAGTATAAACAAATGTAAATAGTCGATGTGGTGGTCCACACTGTGTGGTCATGCATTCTGATTTTATATTACACATATTGCCCAAGAGATACTTTTTTTCCATGGGTTAATATATTCTGGCATGGCCTTACATTATGTTTGCGTCGTGAAAATATGGATAATTCAAACTATCATCAACATAACCTGACGTAAGAAATGGTGCAAGAACTCAAAACTAATATTAAAAGAAGCATTTCTTGAACAAAAAGTGTTCATTTTGTTTATATTTGGAAACAATGACAATGCTTCTTTGATTTTTTTTCTGAAAAACAGATGCGCTGTTAAAGCTTTTGCAATGCAAAACCAGAGGGGAACTCTAACTTTGCTCAGTATGGGCCTTTAAGTAAATAGAGACAGGGTGAAACTGCAAGTGCACAGAAATACAATATGAAACTTTAATGAAGTTTCTGATTTCCCCAAAGTCCTGCCTTTGCACACAGTTTAGATCAATTGCACTGTGTGGCTTTTGTTAGCCACAGCTTTTAATGCACATCTCTGCTCTGGGGGTCTGGCATTGTTTTCTGCTTAGACACCACACAGTGGTGCTGACTCAAAGACACCTTTAGCTCTCTCTTAGAGTGGCCCTTAGCTTGGATAGATGCCTGCGAATAGAGATTTTTTTTCCCCAAAAACACTATGTGAGATTGCATTTTATAATTACAGTGCTGAAAAACAAATGTGGAGTAATGGAGTCCACATTAGCTGCCTTTAACTATAGTTTCTTTCATAAATCTAGACAGCCGTAACAGGTACCAGCTAAAAGCTATGATATCTAGGAAAGATCACACTTTCCTTGTTCCATTTCATCATCTGTCTTGTTAAGTCTTTAATTTTTTTTTTTAATCTAAGGGGCGGTCGTGGCTCAGGAGTTGGCAGTTCATCTTGTAACGACAGACAGTCTCGGTCGTTGTGTCCTTGGGCAAGACACTTCACCCGTTGCCTACTGGTGGTGGTCAGAGGGCCCGGTGGCACCAGTGTCCAGCAGCCTCGCCTATGTCTGTGTGCCCCAGGGCGGCTGTAGCTACCTACAGCTGCCCTGGACTGAGTGTGTAAAGCGCTTTGGGGTCCTTAGGGACCAGTAAAGCGCTATACAAATACAGGCCATTTACCATTTAAGGTAGCAAGGTGGTGTGGTGGTTACCATTGTTGCCTCACAGCAAGAAGGTCCTGAGTTTGACACAGTTTGTATGTTGTTTCCAGGTACTCTGGCTTTCTCCCACAACTCAGTCATGCAATTGGTGTTAGGTTAACTGGTGATTTTAAATTCCCCATAGATGCTTGTAAGTATGAATGGTTGTCTGTCTCTCTGTGTTAGCCCTGTGTAAGACTGGTGACCTGTTCAAGGTGTACCCCGCCTCTCAAGCTACAGTAGCTGGGATAGACTGCAGCCCCCCTGCAACCCTGTTAAGGATAAACAGAAGAAAATGAATAGATTTTTGTCGAGTAACACAGCACATAATTCATGTATAAATTTTAGTTACACATGAATTCTGAAAATAAGAAAAAAGTCAGACCTTTATGACATAGTCTTAATCTCACTTACAAGTTAATTGAGAAAGGGTTATTCAGCAATGTTTTAAAACTTCAGATCAAGCAATCAGATTCAGTTATTCCAGCTGAAATTTCTTTATTATTGAGAAATAAGAAACTGCTGTTTTTTGTTCTGAAGTCTCAACCCGAAATTTTATCTAATATTATTAAAGAGATATACCCAATTTAAACCCACTAAGATAGTGATACTGAAAGTATCACTGAAAGTCCTGTGCTAGGTACTTACTCCAGCAGGAGGATGCTCTGGACTCCAAATCCTCTTAGATTTCCAATAACATGTCCTGTACTCTACTGAAAGTATACTGAAAGTATCACTGAAAGACATGTAATTTTAAAAATGTCCTTTTAAGCTTACTGTTAAGGTTACCATGAATTATATCTATAAAGTCTGATTTACACATCTATTCCAGTCTCATTTGCAAGGATCTAAACTACTGGCAAATAACACTTAATAAATGCATTTAAGCTGCTAACACAGTTAACAAAGACATAACAAGAGGAAAATGTAAATTTACAGCATCACAGACATGTGCAGCATGCATCTTTCATAGATTAAAAATGTGGTTGCATGCCATCATTTCACTAAAATAACCAGAGTAACCATTAAAATGAAGGAAGCAGAGATTTACTAATCCATCCTGGCGGTCAGAGTTGACAGAGTGTGTTTTTGTAACAAGCTGACCTCTGCTAGGTACTTACTCCTGCAGGAGGATGCTCTGGACTCCAAATCCTCTTTGATTTCCAATAACATGTCCTGTACTCTAATAGCTCTCTAGGAGTAGATGGCCATTAGAGAAGATGACA